GTCAAATCATTTGATTCATGTGATTTGCATTGTGCCCTTCAAATCATTAAGCATTTTTTATATTACATTTTATGATTGTCACTGTAAAAACAATTCGTTTTCCGGGTAAGGCAGTAATATTTTAAACAAATGCAACATTTCACAGGCGTTACGTGCTTTTTGCAATTTACATAGCGACTTCTTTGATTGGCAAATATCGGATAATGCCCAGTCTTATCTAATGCAATATGATGCCAATAAAAACAGTTATTTGTTGATTTTTTGAAGCAAAAAAATCGACGCTTTTTATATGTATATACTGCATACAACCCCCGGTGTTGTTCTTCCACATCTTATTTTCGTATAAGCGTATCTGAATCTTGTATTTTTTTATGAAAACCACTCGATGGACTGGGTAATTACTTTTTGTTTCGTTTCTGTTTCCACGTTCGAAAATAAAGTTATCTATGCGGGGTTATAGTATTATTTAGCGTTAATAAAACTTGAAATATTTTTTTTATTTGATTATAAATTACCGCTAGTTTCCTTGTAGAGCCGTACCCCATTTTCAAAGTAATTTTGAAATATATTATTATTCGACACATGTAGGTTGATTTTACAATTCTCATTGTTCATTAATTCTCGCTCATATATTTGTTGGTAGTGTAATCACTTCTTTGCTGAAAGAAAAAGAACGAAAATGATTAAAATTCCAATTAATAATGCTGTTGAATTAAAGAAAAATACATCATTTGCATCATCACGTACTGCAGTATTCGTTTGTGTTGATTGGTTTGAGAAAATTAAATTCTCTTCATTTCTTGGATTGTAAAGTTTATAAATATATTTTTTAAATTCTGCGTATTTTTCTGATTTTGATGAAGAAATTTGTGGATATTTATCTTAAAAATATGATATTTTTAATAATGGATTTTTAGTTCTGCATACACATTCCTCGAACAGATGGGCTACTGATAACCAATATTCCGTTCCGAAATTCACCAATTCATTTACGCAATTATCCTAATTGAAACCAAAATGATACGTTCGTGGCCATAAAACTAAACCCTCGTATTTTTTTTTGAATTACTTTGAAATACTTTATATTATTACTATTTAAGAAATGTTCACTGGGGAAAATAAAACGGTTTTGTATGAATCCACGGCACTTTATGAAGTCTTCATTGTAAAATGATTTTAAACTTTCTTCTAATTTGTGTGCTTCGGACATTGGAATTAAATACAGTAATTTACGACCGGGACCATGATTGAAATTGTACGCATATAAATTGTGATCTTCTACATGTACCGCAAACGAAGCAAATGTCATACCGGCGTATAAATAAGGTGAGTGTACATCCACTGAACCCTTATCACGTACGTATGAGTCCATAGAAGTATTCAATGAATTTGGATTTCCAAATAACTTTTTTTTCTTCTCTAAGAAAGAACCATCAATATATGAAGCGTACTCGATCACATTGTTACTTTTACCCAAAATATTCCAAAAATAATTTTCTTTTTCTTCATCGCTGGTCAAATTTGAAGATAAATTGTTATCGATGTATTCTTGAATCGTGATACTCTTTTTTAATATAGTTCCATCACACCTCGTTCGTCGACTCCATGAAATGTTTGCTTTTTTAAAAATTTTATTTTAACTCAGTCGGTGTTCCGTTTCATGTGTTTAGCGAAGCACTCGGGAAATGTAAATATAAACAAAATTGCAAGCAAAATTGTTATTGTAATATCGTGTAAACATCATATATAAAAATCATGTAATCATATATAATAAATGGATAGTTAAAAAATCATACTTTAGTGAATGTCTTTACATTATCCAAACACGATACAATGGCTTCAAACGCAAAATTATTCCGAGGTTCATGATTTAACCTGACGACGTTCACATTGAGCGCAATCAGTTATAATCTACACGTTAAAATGATAGTTTATAGAGCGACTTCATTTGCCTACCAGAGATCAAAATCAAATGTGCACAGCGGCAGGGTTCTCAGATTTGAGATAAAATAATTTTTTAAATCAACAAATCGTAAGAAAAATCATGATTTGAAGGGCACAATGCAAATCACATGAATCAAATGATTTGAC